TGTGATGAATTTACATAATTATAACTTACAATTATTTTTTATTAACATTGTAAGATATTTTCTAGACACTTGTACCCGTATTCATAGTTAGGCATTATATTTAAGGTTTTCTTAAGTTTATCTTTACAAAAGATACTTTACAAATTATTTCATTGACTGCTGAGTATCTAAAGAATTTTAGTTTCAGAGAATTAAAAAAAAATTTAGTTTTCTTAAATTTAGTAGAAACTTATATTAACAAATTCACTATTTTTAACCTTTTATTGCACTCCGTTGTTTCTACATTTACATTCTAAATGCAAAAACTATTGTTTTTCCAAAAAAAGCGTAAATGAAAACATGCCTGGAACATCGTAGACATACGCGACTATTTATATGTGTACTTGACCGAACAAGTACATCGGTTGAAAGAATTACTATTCCAAAAAACGTTTGTATTTTGTATAAAGAGTTTTGAAGTGCAATTAAAAAAGTCATTCAGTTAATTATAATTAATTAATCATTTTTACACCGTGTATTTAACCGAAAAAATCAATCGGAGGTGAATTAAACAACATTCTTATACGGAATCGTTTGTATTTCGTATAAAGAATTATGCAGTATCATTAAAAAGATTTGTGAGGTCCAGTTTCACAACTGACGGTTAACTCATCTTAACCGAGGTTCAACTTATTCATTTGATCTCTTTTCAATTCTAGAATTGAGAAAGAGATAATGAATAAGTTAACTTCGGTGAAGAATTAACCGTCAGTTGTGAAACTGGGCCTGAGCACCGACGAGATACTATTAAAGACTGTCAACCCTAAGCAAATTTTCGGCGGTATAAAAAGGGCCCCAAGGGCCCGGAGAGGTAATTGAAGAACGCTGACAATTGATATAAATTTGCTATTAGTAACATAAATATTTAGTTCATACATTATTAAATTCATGATTTTTTATTATATAAATGTTCCATAGATAAATATGCATACTTGTAAAGCTATAATATTCTATATATTGCAGAAAAATTACAATTGTTTCTCTGCAGTTATCATCTCTGTTGATAATCAAACTTTGATGATAGCACTGAAATCACAATTTTAGAGAAAAATCGAGTATTAGTGAGTTCTAAATGCATAAATACGTCTACTAAACTAATAAATCATAAAATTGGTACAATATTTTCAGTTTTTAACTCTTAATTACTTCAATATTTACAAGGAAGGACACTAACTCCCGTAAGGATGTCGGTCTTTAATAGTATCTCGTCGGTGGCCTGAGTCATCCATATAGTTATAATTAACTACATAAAAATCATATAATTGATCGAAATATACAATAGATTAAAGACGCTACAACGCTCCAGCAGTTTCGGCAGTTCAGGCGCTATCATCAGTCTCTCTAGTATTTCGATATTCCTAGGCATAATATAGAATTGTTTGGAATGGGTTTCGATCAAAATAAATTAATTTCCTACATTTCTCTTGTATTTTCTAAAGAAATTATAGGAAAATAAAATAATTCCGGATTCCCATGAAGTCCTATGAGACGTATTTGCCGCATATCACGTAACCGCACAACTAATCAGAAGCGATCCGCTGCTGTGTTTCATGTCTTACCGATTATTGATTGGTTATGCCTGCTGCAGCTCAGCTCGATTTTC